GAGAAGGAGAAAATAGCAGAGCAAGAAGAAATAGAGTTAGTTCCCCAGTAGCCAAAGCCTGTGGTAGCAGAGATAGCCCAGGAAACCTGAGCCAGTATGACTATCAGCTTTATCATAAAGGAAAGTTTTAAGACTTAAAAGATGCCTGCAAAGACAGTAGAGGAGCCTAATAGCTAAAGGATGTGATTCCTGTTCTACTTTTAGAACCTTTGGGAACTAAGTGCTCTGTTACGAACATATGGACCAGTCAAATCTCTGATTAAGGGTTTTATGTGAGCAGGAGAATCTCAACGTCCATTCTGGATTTAACAAGGAGCCAGTAGAAGGAGTTTGAAATAGTGATTGTTTAATTATCCTGGTCAAAAATAACAGAGTCTTTACTTTACCGTCTATGCCATCCAGATCAAGAGATTGAGTAAGCAGTTTTTCTGTTTAGTCAGAATTTAAAAGCAGAGAGTTTTCTATTCAGTCGGGGGTTTTTTGGTCTTTAAGACATGCCTGTAGTATACTAAGTGACTGGATTTCTCAGAATTTATAGATTAAAAAACAACAAAAAAAAGCTGAATATCATCAGCATAACGGTGGAAGTTTGTCCCTTCCTGTATGAAGATTTTCCCAATTGGAGAAAAGAGAGTCGACCCAAGTGCAGAACCCTGCGGTACTCCATAAGGAACGGTTTCAAGAAGCTAAAGTTATAGTCTGGTTAGCACTATTAGCACTAAAAGGGCGTTTTACATTTGAAGGAGTCTAGACTTCATTTGATCATCATCATCTTCATCTCTAGTTCAAATCTAAAATTCTTAAACAGGCAAATGAAGGACTGAATAATCCCACACCAAACAGAAAACCTTTAGTGACGCCTTCATTCTCTTCATGAAAGCTAAGAAGGTGTCAAAGTGTTTGTTTCCTTAAGTTCATGTTAAAATCATAGTAGCAAAAAAAAAAAAAAAAAAAAAAAAAAAAATCCAGCATGTGAACAATTTAAACCAAAATGCTCTTTTTCCTATGAGAGCGTCTTTAAGATTTAGTTTGTAATTTGTGAAACATCGTTTTTCTCGTCCCCATGAACCTGGTACGATGACATGTCATGTTATGAGTATACAGTATTACAATATTGCAGAAAATCATGCACAAATGCAAATTAAAGAAAAGGTCTTAGATCACAATCTAAATTGTTGTGTTTTGCTACATTCAAAGCTGAAATTGCTTGTTTTCAATATTCCATAACCACGAAGGACCAAGTTCCTCCATACTGAGGTCCACTGCTTGTTTTACCACTAGTGATTTTTGTATTTTTTTGGTCACTATTTTTCTCTGCCAAAACAAGATTTCTATACACAGAATGAAAGCATAAGGAGACTCAGCGTGGTCGCCATTGGTTTTCTTTTTTTTTGGCCTGATGCATTCATGGGATAATCTGGTTTCCGCTTTGGTTGGCGCACAGATGGCACTGGGAGGGGAAAAACGGGGACAGAAACGCCGTGGGGCCAGAGAGGACATTCACCCCTAGATAAGCCCCGCTGTAGCGCGCCAGGCCGAGCGGCCCTCCTCTGGGTCCTGGCAAGACCGTCTGGCAGAAGACAGGAGTGGGGGGGAAAGCAGGTGAACATCTCTGAGACCGCAGCTGGAGCGGGATCAGACAGGGCGACGCCTTCACACGTTCTGCAAATGATCCAGGAAGTGGGCGGCGTTGGTCGAAGCTAACAGGAAGCGTCTTCCAGGCTCAGTGCCGACAGGAGTACTGCAAAATCACAACCTCGATTAAATAATCTCTCTGATTACTTTCATGATGCTGGGTGCTGGATTGATCTGCGGAGACGACTTCATGATCAGTTTATGATCCTATAACGTGAGACATGTTTGGCACCGAAGGGGAATCCAAATGCAAAACAGAAGAAAGGAATCGATTAACATGTCTCCATGCTTAGAGCACACATGTCCCAGGATGAAAACTGGAAATGTTCACCGAAAATGTGCCCAAACATCAACAAACAGAGATGAAGACAAAGCAGGGGAACAGACAGCAGAGACGGAGGGACAGAGACAGGGTGGGGGGGATTAACGTCTCATCCATTCTTTACTGTTGCATCGGTTGTAAGTAGCTTATTGCACAAAGCAGCCTGGATGTTGCCCGTGCGTTTGCATGATTCGTTCGGAGCGTGGGTGCGATACACACCGCCGATCTCACGCAGGAAACCAAGAGCTTCTGTAGGGGCCCAGACAATGAAGTACGCTCTGAAACCGGCCCATGGCGACCTGCGCTCCGAGAAATATATTACTCTTTAATCCTGGACTCTTTGAAAAGTAATTGGGCAGAGGAACAATCTCATCAACGTTGTCCGTCTCATCTGCCCTGACTATCACTCAGGGTCACAGGAAGACCCCCACATGGGCGCTTTGCCCATGCTTTGCAAAATTAACATTCCGCAGGGCATGCTAAAAGCATAAACCTTAATGTATGTCTGCTGAGATTTTATGGGCTTGACCAGCACACCGATTTTAGCTACATTTAAGCTACAATTGGTGTTAGCTTAACACCTAGCATCAGATATCTGTCAATATGTCGTAAAATGTTTGATGTGTGCACGCTATGAATGAAAAAGGGACACACTGCTTTGCTTCTAATTGTGAACACCACAATGACTAGATAACAAGGTCAGAAGAAAAAGTTTAATTCGAAAAAATACGCAGACGCAGAGGGAAGTGGTTCACACATGCTAGCTTGACTTTGATAACCGTAACACGGAGCTGGGCTGTGGAATTCGCTGTGTTTCAGCTCAGTTGCAAAATAATGAGAAGGCGACCTAAATACCGACTCTGACAGATCGTCAGCAGAGCAGGTGTTTAAATTAGCCAATGTGTTAGATCAGCTAATAGTAGCCGTAGCTAATGTATCACTCATCAAATATCAGGGCTAAAAGACACTGTAGCACAGTTGTGTCTGGTGCTTGTATCTGACAAAAAAAAAACATTTGAATAAAATGCATCAAAATTAGTGAAAAAAAAGAAGTGAGTGTTCGGCTTCATTGTAAAACCTGTTTTTCTGTGTTGTAGTGGGACAAATCATTGGACCACGATTCATAATAAAACCGAGGAGCCGCCTCAAATTGAAAGTTAAACACCTTATCCTGATGCAGCACATGCCAACTTATTCATTTTTTTTCCACATGTATTTCATCAAGTCCGAGGGTCGAAGGAGTCCTGCTGGGCTGATTTCTCAGTCAACATATTCGAGGCAATAATGATCGCTGCCAGAGGCAACGACGCGTTGATAACTCAAACTCTCTCTTTACATGTACTGTAGCCTACATGGGAACAAACGCAGCAACAGTGATTCTTCTCCACATACTGTACAGATACGTTTAGACTTCTTCGTTTAGCCCTGTTTGATGACCTTCCTTTTGTGAGACAGATTCAATACAGCGAGTTACACACCCGCTAAGTTCCCGTCGAGAACTTAACATCCACTCACCAGTGGCGTTAAAATCATGTTAAAGTTGGATTTTTAATGAGACATCAGAACTGTTCTGTCGACTGATTAGGGAACTCGTCAAGGAGTTGTTTTTAACTCCGGTTTGGGGGACACACTTCTGAACTTAATGTGTTTTTCTCTAATTTACACAGAGTGAAAATTATATTAGACTCATATATTCATAAACATGGATGAGCCACCGATGTCCAATTTTCACAGGCCTTGATTTCTTCCATTACTTAACGAATACAAAACCCGCCCGATCATTCCTTGCAATCTAATGCATGGAGTCAGGCTCATCTGACTCCATGCATTGAACTGTGCCTTTTTTTTCTTTTCTTTTTTTTCTCAAACTAATAAATATAAAAGTTGTCATGCAATCCCTGCCAGTAATTAAAATATGTAAATTCTTTATATGCTGGCGAAACCAGCAAACAGCTGGAACAGGACAAGCAGAAGGTGTTTTTGTTCACCCACACATTTCCTCACCCATCTTGTAATACCATTAGGTTTTCATGGAAATACACCAATTGTACATGGCTAGATGTTGTGTAACAAGGCTCAAGGAAGCCACACTCCTTTTGTAGCCGTCGTCAGCAGTTCTGGCAGAAGTCTGAGTGAATATCTGACCTTTAATGTGAAAACGACAAAAAAAATAAATTTTTAATAGGCTGGTCATTTTAATAGGCTGGTTTTCTGGCCCTGACTCGACTTTGGTTTGAATCTCACAAATCGATGTGATGAGGTGAAGCTCAGGGTGAAGCAGTGAGACGCTGCTGTGAAAAAACAGAGCAGTGAATCTCTGCCAAAATACTCTGAAGTGTTGAGATTAAACTTGGAAATTGTGTAAATTTTTAATTTTTTGAGTTTGCAGAACTTTTTCTTTTTTTTTTAGCAACGTTTCGACTTTCAAAATGTCTCAGGGGTTGATCTCAAAATGCCTCAATTTTTCCTAGCGAGTTTTTGACTCTCCAAACTCAGAAATGTCCACTTTTTTTTTCTCTCTAAAAGATTTCTGAGATTAATCTAAGAATTTAGTTTTTCTTGTTGTTTTTTTTTTTCCTAACAAATTTTCAACTCCTCAGTCTCAGACGTTTCCAGGTTGTGTTTTCTCAAAAAGCTCAAATTACTCTCAAATTTCCATGTTTTTTTTCTAGAAAATCTCGGAGAAGTTGCATCAGAGATTCACTCGGCTGTGCAGGTCTCTTGCTCATCCCTGCGCCTGATCCTTGTGTCGAAAAGCCACTTTCCTTTGACTTGAACACAGCTGGACAGTCGGACAGGATAAGAATCCGACAAACACGTCAGAACTTGTTTGGATCGGGACAACTCCGGCCTCCTGAACGCCTCGCAGCTCACTCCTGGGGGCAATTTATTCTTGACATTTCTGCCAAGCAGAGCGGTCAAATATAGAACTGTAGCAGATGCTGTTAATGACTACAAAAAGTGTGTGTGTGTCAGACAGTAGCACACAGCATGTGTGTGTGTTTATTTAAGTGTTTTTGTCTAACAGAGCTGATTCTCTTACCTTGAAACGACAAGAGGCAAGATTAGCATTTTCAGCATCCTCATGAGCAGCTCGCCGGGAAACTGGAAGTACTTCACCTCCTGAAAGCAACAGAGATGGTTTTTAGTGGATGTAGTCGGCGGCAGCCGATCACAGCGCCCATGTCTGAGAACATCAGACTGTTTTCCTCAGTGAATCGGAGCCTGAGAGGCGCCGGTGTTTGTGTTTTTCTCACTGAATAGACATAGAAGGTAAATTCTGCACATTTGTCGCCGCCTTTCAGTTTGAAGTGAATCTCTGCGTCACTCCCGATTTCAGGGGATCAGAAGTTGCTTGAAGTTGTTTTTCATTTACTTGTTAATAACGGTCTCTGACCTTGACGTGTTCTGCATGCATGAAAGGGAGAAATGTTCTGAAATGCCTTCTTGATGTGACCCTCTGGGGTATTTCTTAATTTTACTTTTTTTCTTCTTAATTGAAAAGTATGATGACCTTAAAACCATTTTATAAAAATCAGTAGAAAACCCAACACAGAAGGAGCTTTGTGACTTTACTTTCTTAAGTTTCTGAACTTTTCACAGAAAACTTTTGGATTAAGCCTTTAGTCTCCATTTTGCTTCCAAGGACCCGCAGCCTGCATCGTCTGAGAACAACAGTCTGAGATGCTTTAAGAGTTTCTGTTTTATTAAAGCGCATTTCACCCAAACTAACACTGGTGAGATGGGTCTGAAATCAGCCTACGGGTTCGGAGTGGTTGGTTGAGTATTTGTTCTTTGATGATCAGTTCAGTTTTCTCTAAAGATTATAGATCAGAAAACAACAACAACAAAAAACTAAATCCCAGATTGTTCCCTCTGGTTGTAATAAGAAGAAAAATTCAATTACAAACTGGGCCTTAAATCTACAGTATGTAACTTTTTATTAAAACTGTCATTAGGCTGTGACACCAGGGAGATAATCTGTGAAGGCTCCTCTGCCTTCTCGCAGTGCTAACTGCTGAAGGACACCACTCAGTCAGAAACATCCAATCACAGCTAGGAGGAGGGCCTTACAGCTGTCAGTCATGCTTGTGTATGCGCGGCTCACACCGTCCCCACTGCTCTGCTGCGCCACAGCGTCTTCCCAAAGGCAGCGTCAGAGTGTGACGTGAATGCTAAGGCTAGTTAGCATAGCCCCCAATGACTGGACAGTTTTTCTAGAACAACGAGTTGTTTCTCCACTGTTACTTCATTGAGCAGCGCATAGATGAGTATGATTGATGGTGCTAAAACCTTCCTTCTGGCTGATTTGTTGCTTTTGATCGCTACGGTAGGTCAGAGGGGAGGCAGAAGAGCTTGATTTGTTTTTCATCATAAAATGTTGTCATGACACGGTGACAGTTTTAACAAATGTATAAAAAAACCAAAAACATATTTATAAAAATTACATATTGTAATTCCTGGTTATCTTGGTCACTTCGTTAATTCATCTGTAAAGGCAATCAGCTGACCACACCCAACGTTGACCACACCCAAAACAAAAATGTTTCATGGTTAAGAGTTTATTTATTTTGATTTATTTTGACATATTTTCCTTTTTTGTGTTTTGGCTACTTTCATTGTTCATTGTTTCACTTGTCCTTCACAACATGCAGAAGAAACGTCATAAATAAATAAATGGCATAAATGAAACTGTCTGAAACACAAACTGAATCCTGAGTGTCTGTCTGGTGAAAATGCGACCCAGTCCTGTGTGAGGTGGCAGTTTCCTGCTCTGATCCGCTTCCCCCTTCGATTTCTCCCCTGCTCTGTGTTTGAAGTAAGTTCTCATTTTTCCCCAAAAAACAAAAAAAGAAATAGCAACTGGCTGTCCGAGGATTCATAACGGAGCCTCCAGGGCAAAAATTAATTGGTCTCACTGGAGGACCTGAAAGGCTATAAAGCCAATTAAAGGCAATAAAAACCAAATAAACACCCGACGGCACAACTTTTCCTTAAGTCATATTGATAAAATGGAAAAAACAAAATAAGCTCCAATTATTTTTTTATTTTGACTGCTTGTTGCTGAGGACTGACCCTGGTACAAATTAGATCTTTTGTAAAAGTCAAGCGCGTTTTCAGTGTGAAAGTTGATTTTCTCTGCACCTTTATTACGTGGCCTCTGGAAGACATCAACATTCGAAACGTAGCGTTCTGTTTCGCATCCACAACTTGAGACGACGTGACGTCAGAAACAAAACAAAAGGCTGAAATGTGTTACTCTAAGCTCTGAAGAGAGCAATGGGTTAAAATAATGAAACAAATTTTACATTATTTTTGTGTCGTAGTTTCTCAATTCAAAACATATGCTTTGATTGATGCCTAATTGATCATTTTTTGAACTTTCTATCAGGTGAATGGACTGAAATGTGTTTTGTTTTATTCTAGTTTCTTTTTATTTTGATATGTGAAATATCTTATATGCCTTTAAACTCTGTTCAGATTCTGTCAGTTAAAAAAACACAAAAAACCTAAAATAGTAGAAAAAAGTATCGGTATCTGCGATACTGGTGTATCGACTTTATTAGATTGATAACAAAATATCGTTACCATCCCGATATAATAGTTCAAGTTATCATTATTATTTTTTCCAAATTTTATTTTTACTTTAATCATGAACTCTTTCTTTTTTGCTAAGAGATTATTTAGGTAAAAAAAAAAAATCAGTTTTAGCAAATAAAAAAAAAAGAAAGAAAGACTTTATTTCAGGAAGGTGACAATATGGAGAATCACTTTCCTCTCCTACAAAACGTGTTGTATTCGGGATTTGCAGCAACATGTCGTCGAAATTGAAAAGACAAAAAAAAAAAAAACTTTGCGTGCTGTGTTTTGAGTTCCTTCTGACATATTACATAATTGTTACCTCCTGTCACAAGTGTCCTCTGAGCAGATTGGACTATTTTTTTTTTTTTTTTTTAACCCTACAAAAACTGAAAAAAAGGTCACTGAGCCTCTTCCTGCAATCTAACAAAACCCTCATTAGGGGAACTGGGACAAAACGATCTCAGCTCGTTGAGACGATCGTTATTTCATTCACAAGGTTTCCATCAGTCGGACACATTTGGAAGCAAACCGTGTTAAACTGATGCCTTCATCGCTGTGAGTATAATTGCAATAGAAGCGAGCTTTCTAAAAGCATGTAATCATTTTTTTGTCCATTAAAAGAGAATATCCTATTTTTTAACATTAAATACTAGCTTCCCGAGTCTTTAAAAATATCCAACATCAGGCGCGTCTCCAAAAATGTGAGTATGCAGTTAAAAGTGCAACATTTCTTGTCAGACATTTCAGAAAGTGAAGTCAAATATTGCATGGGATCACACTCGCTCATATCCTCCAACGCTTTGTTCACTATTATTATTATTATTATTATATTTGTAACTTTGTTGATTATGGTTTTACAGATGGCGAAAACGCAAAATTGTGTTGTCGCAGAAAAATGAGAAGAGCGTGAAACCGGTAATTATTGGAAACAAAGTGTCACATCCTAATCAGATAATTAACTCCAAACACCTGCAGGAGTTTCCTGAGCTTTTAAACGCTCAATCTGGACAATCTGCTGAGAGGACAGATGTCCAGAAGACGGCCACGGTCGTCCTGCACAAGGACGGGAAGAAACTGAAGGTCCCTACTAACAAAGCTGGTTGCCAGCCGTTCGTATCCAAACATTTTAAAGGAGCAGTGCTGTTTGTTTTCTAGACACATTGAGCCATTTCATGTTATAGTCAAATAACCGTCACCTATAGCTGGTAATATCAAATATAACTCAGAATTAGGTTGCCATAGAAATACTGTGTTGCAACACCGACATGACATTATTGATGCAGGAAGTCATTTTAACCTCCACAAATGTCAGTTATTTTGTTGTTGTGTTTTTTAAATGCATTAAAAAAGCAGCTTTTCTGTCCAATGCAAAAATGAAATAAATAAATAGTGGAAAACTGAAGGAATGTCATAATCGGTAAATAGAAAACAATAATGATAAAAGACATTTAAATAGCGGCGCATGCAGAGAAATGCATTTTGATGGATTTTGTGTTTCGCCAAGCGAGACAAAGTTGGCCAGGCGAAAACATCCACAGGGAAAAAACTTCTGAACATTTTTAAAATATAACGTTTGAAAGACACAACCTGGCAAAATTTAGTGGAATATGCATCAAGAGAGATAACGTTTATATATAAATGTTACATAAAGTGCAAAAAAAATCAAATTGAACCAGATGTGGTCTGTTGAAACATCATCCGCTCCATTTGTGGCTGAAGACAGTTGTCGTAATAAAACAGAAAATCATTTAAAGAAAAGGAACAAATTGCTCCTGGATGCTTTTGTCTCTGCTGCTTGTGAATCAATTACAGGAGTGAAGCAAAAACTGGGAGCAACTGCAGTCAATAGATGGACCTTGTAGTCCTTTGTGAAGCTCCCTGAATTGCAGACTCACTTTGCTTTCTTATTTATTTTCAGACCAAATCATGACAAAAGAGCAAGAACTGGTTTAGATTTCATTCGTTTTGACCCGGATGAGCCGAGTCGCTCTTTCTTCTTACCGCAGAAAAATAAAAAATAAAAACCCTAATGAATCTGTTTACCTTGAAAGAGATTCGTAGGATGTGCGTGTCACTGCCTGCAACAGCTTAAAAACAAACGCAACATGTTTGTCTTTAAGCTAATGTGCAACATTAACATTTTTTTGTTTAATGGAAGTCAGGAAGACTAAAAGCGCAGAGATCTGGGCCGAGAACAGAAATGTAAGTACATGACATCTGTGAGATGACGGAGCAATGAAAGCTTTTCGCTCGTGTTTTGGAGTGGCAGGGCTTTTAGTGCAAATGAGTGTGTTCATTTTGTTGTGTGTGTGTGTGTGAAGTAGGAGTGTATATGAGGATGTACTGGGGACATATATGAGTGTGTGCTAGTTGGTGTGTGTGTGGTGTGTGTGTGAAGGACAATCACGTCTGTCACTGTGTCCTGGCATCTGCTGAACAGTGGAACAAACAGCGTTGATACTCCCACACACTCTCTCTCTCTGTCACACACACTCACGCAAACACACACACAGACAGGAGGCCCATTAACTCGGCAGACGTATCAATTCTTGAGTTTCTCTTTGAAAGCCGGCGTTACAGTTTGTCCAATAATGATGCCTCACGCTGATGTGACGATTATCTCATGATTTGTCTCTTGGCAGACTGTGGAGTAATTTCACTGAAATTTAACCAAAACAAAAACTAAATATTGTTTGAAGAGCCGCAGGACGCCTGTTGAAGCTACTAATCGTTAATCTGCACGTCACGCCGGAGGTTCTCAGCTCCCTCTGCAGTTACGCTCCTGTTGTTTTGGAAATTTCCATCGGTTCGGGACAATTATGAGAGTTTAATTGCTGTTTGTTTCTTTTCTGTTTGAACAGTAAACTTGTGCCCGAAACAGAAAGTTTACTTTTCTTTCAGATCGCATGCACTTATTTTTCATCTTTTTGCCCTAGATGCCTGCATTGTTAATATTTACTATTAACAAGTAATAGTATTTGTTAATAGTACTATTAGTAGTACTATTACTGGCAAAGCCAAATTCCTGTTTTTTCCCCAAATTTTTCCTCTGCCTACATCTCCCAGAATGCAGTGAGGTTCCTGGTCAGTGAAATCGTTGTAATATTCCATCAGATGTATTATCTATTGATACTGATTACTTGCTTAATGCAATGTGTATTGTTGCTTCTTAGTAGGGATGCATGATATATCGGCAACACGATCGGTATCGACCAGTGTTAGCAAAGCTGGGCTGATATTAACAGCTAATGCTTATTTCCATGTGGTTGCCATGGTTTCAGGAGGTTGCGACAATAAGTTTTTTTTCTGGTCATGTGACACTGATAGAGAGACTGTGGCGTGTTTAACTGAAGCAGAGAAGCAATTTCATCGGTGTCGTGTTTTGTACGTTTTGTTGTCACGGATTAGGAAGGAGAAGGGAAATATTTATTACAACATCAGATAAATCTCCTATCACAGCATTCTTATGAAAAGGAACTGATTTCATTCTAACGCAAATAAAACAAACCGAATGGCTGAAGATTAGTGGCTGTACAGCATGGTAGCAAAGAGCACAGTGACTCACACAGAGAACTAAATGTATGTCAGTGGCTTCGGGGTCAGCGTCTGTCACCATGTGCAGCGGAGCAGGTTTGTCTTTTTTACTTCCCCACAACATCCCCAAAAAGTCTGTTTTCAATGACTTCCCGTGTTTGAGTCGACAGATGATGCGATCGGATCAGTCCTGCAGCGTTTTATGGTTTTATTGTATGAGGAGCAAATGATGATTAAACTGAAAACAGAATATTGGTCAAACCGCAGTCAACCTTTAATGTGTCGCAGTCAACCTTTAATGTGTCGCTCATTCTGCGTTTATCCTCAGGACAACAAAAACAAAAAACACAACGGTCGTAGTTAGTTGGATATTTCTTTGTTGTTATGGTGCTTCTTGGTAATAAATGTAACTTTTTTGGAAAATGTATGTATTTCCTTTTAAATTGCGCCACCGTCATGAGGACGATGCACTTGAAGGGTGGAGAAGCAGAGTTGAGTGTTTAGGCTGCATGGTCAAAAACTCCTCCTCTGCCCAGAGCAAACACTTTATTCTTCTGATTAGTCTTATTCAGTGTATTTAACTGTGTATTTCCTTCACACAGAAATTTGTTTTCAGTCACGTTTAATTTGCGCTACAGGAAAAATATATCTGATTTCAGAAATAAATGTTTGTTTTTTCGACATTGACATATTGACAAAGTTTTGCTCATGTGTGTTATGGAGTCAAGTATAATTGTACTCATACTAATAAAGCAGTACTCCTTGACAAACAGTTCATTCGATCGTCTATTATGCAATTATGTTCTGTCCTTTACTCTGATGCCCCTAAATAAACTGCGGTGCAACGTTCTATCTTGGAAACCAACAATGCAATTGAACTGTAAAGGCTTTATAGGATTTTGTACAGAACAGACAGTAAAGTGAATGTCATAAAACAACACCAGAAGAAAACAGACGTCCATCCACACGTAAGCACGGCCTAGTCAAAGTCAAGACGTAAAATCCTGCGTTTTTGAGACATAGTTCGCCAGCGTTTGTCATCTCCAGTCACTCATCTCATGTTGCTGATGCCTTATAGATGTTCTTAGGAGAATTATATAAGAATGAAATGCTAATCGCTGCCTTCTCTGTCTGCGGCCCCCTGCTGTCCTCGGGTGCACTGGCTGAGTTCACATTTCACCAAAACACAACACTTTCCTCAGATTGTGTTGTAATTGCGACACTCTCCGCCCCCCCACCGGTACACAGATTGGATTTCAAACCAGTCAGAACTTGACTGATGCTGGAGGAGTCGGCTAGTGACAATCATGGCTCCATTATCCGCAGCACCATAGAAACAAAACCAAGCAAAATGCCTGGAACTTTAGAGAGAGCACCAACTCAAAGAAACGCGTAAATGTGTTTGAGTGCAAGAACAGAGTCACTCTGACCAACAGATCAACAATCATCACAGCGCCGACCTGATTCCCGACCGTCCAAGTCTCTGTGAGTCGGATCTATTGACTTTTAATGCAGGTGTCCATCCACAGCTTTTTTTTGAGTGTGTGCGCGTTTGTTTGTAATACCTCGTGGGAACCATTTTCCTGACACTACATTATGGGGACCCACTGCTACTTGTGGGGACCGAGCCTGGTCCGCCCAAGGGGAAACACTGTTTTTGGGTCAGGAGTCAGATTTAGGACTAACCTCTGAATTGAATTTTGGTTAGGGTTAGGATAAGGTTTATGCTGTAGAAATCAATGGAAAGATAGCCACACAAACATGTGTGCATGCAGAAAAAAATTGCAGTTCCTATTCCTGAGAGTTCTGAATCAAAATGCTCAAAAGTTGATTTTAGTCAGCTTAAATTTTTTTTGTGTGTAAAATTATATTTTTAACAATTATTTGACATTTCCTTTGATTTACCAAATGCCAGGCAGCCAAGCTGACCTAAAACTGGTAGTTTAAGATTCAAAACTTTCAAGAATCCACAAACTTATTTTTGTCTAAATATAATCTGATGGAAACTGATTTTGTTTTCTTCAACTTCGACTTCACCAGGAAAATTCCACAGAGATTAATTAAAATCTTATCAAGAGAATCTTGGCGGCAACAGGCAGAGGGTCACAATCACAGCAAAAGCAGAAAAAAAAGTTAACACTGTCATAAATAAATTCATAAATAAAAGATTCCTCTGCTGGAACAGTTGCAGACAAGATGAGTCCTTCTCAAATCTAAAAAGAAGAACCTCAGAGAAAAGTTTTGAGAAAACAGCTTGTCGCAGAGTTTTGTTTGTCGTCTTTTCCTCAGTTTAAACTGAAAAAGGTTTAAACAGAACCTCAGGTTTGAATAGGATAACAAATTTAGCTGGACGATAAATCGTCACGAAGGTTATTGCGATAAACGATAACGTTGTTGTTTGGAGACCTTTTGAGAACACATTCTCAAAGAGGAATGAACATCAAACTCTAATGAATGTTTAACACTGGAGCTGGAAGACATTTTAAATGTCCAAAAGAAATCTACAAAATAACACAAATGACAAATGAAATCAATCATAAAGTCTCTGTAAACAAAATTGTCCTTAAAATCTGGGTCCAGTTGAAACCAAAACACCAGACTGAAGACTTTTATCATCCAGTTTTTGGTGGAAAGAGGAAAACGCTGCGAATGGAAATGATTGAGCTCGTTTTAATCCACCGTGCGATTAATCGATTCGTTTGCTTATTGCGACACTCACATTTGAAAAGGAAAAACTGAAAAAAATCGGAATCTACTCTTTAGTTGCTGAAAGATTTACATCCCTAATCATTCAGTCTAAAAATAATTGAATAAACAACTTTGTGGTTTCAAACAAGCTGTAAAAGATCTGATCTTTAGTCAACCCTGACTGGGGCAAAGATTAGGGTTAGGCTTGTAATCGTTGAGGTTAAGCCTTGGCGAACTTGATGCGTATCTCAAACACATCCTGTTATTTTCTACACGTTTAAGAGGAAAATGTGTAGAAGCAGGAGTGTGAAAGTTGGGGGCATCACTCAGAGACGTCGTGAAGTGTGGGGCCCGGGGTAGAGAGGTAAGGAGGGCAGGAAATCGGGGCAGGGTGGGTGGTTGACGGGGGTCACAGCCACCGACTGACCTGCTCGGAGAGCTGCTTGCCTCTGAGGAAGAAGCCCAGCAGGCAGCCGATCACCACGGCCAGCACGGACAGGATGAGCAGGCCGTTCTGCTTGCAGACGTTCTTCACTCTGCCCCACACTTCCTCCACAGCCAGCGCCATCCTCCTCCGCCGCCTCCACCGACGGTCTCGACCGCAACTTAGCAACCCCTCAGAGAAAACCACCGAAGCAAGCCCCCGTCTTCAATGTGTTATTCAGCCATGGAGGTCCGGTCGGGTCAACTGCCGCAGCAAACCGGGGTGGCGGGAGGAGGGGGGGGGACGCAACGGAGGCTGTGTGCAGAGGGTGGGGGGCGACTAGAGGGAGGCAGAGTGATTGAGGAAAAAGTGGGCTTTAAAAAGCAAAAAAAAAAACAAAACAAAAAACAAAAACAAATGAAAAACCAAGAGGGATTTCAGTAATTTAAAAAAAGTGAATGAATTAAATAAAGATCCCAAAAATATGAAACGGTTCAGGAGGTTTCTGGGCGTCTCCCCCTCTGGGCTTCGTCCTGCAGCACTTCACATCAAACTCACAGCATCCCACAGACACACTGATTCCAACCTCTCCCTCTCCTCCCTCCTGCCCCTCAGGCCACATTACTGCCGGCAGCCAGCAGGGGGCCCCGCGACAGCTGGTGGTATTGTCATCAGGGTTAATTCTACGATCCTATTAGGCATGGTGCAGTACGACTCAGATCTGAGGCTGGATTAGAGAGCTCTCTGAACAATTGGACGGCAGATTGGTCAAGGCCACCAAACATGATGAGGACGAGAGGGAGGGAGGGAGGGAAGGGGCCATTTGCGGCGTGCTCATGCTAATGACATCTGAAACTACAGGAAAGAAGCAAGAAGTGAATTCCATTTTATGGATTTCTGTCAGAAGTGTGTAGGCAGCGAACCATTAAGTCCTCAGCCTCACAGCTTGATCAGTACAATGTCAGCTGGGACGCTGTAGAGCTCTAATCAGACGCCTAGAATACTGATTTAAAGCTATAGATGAAAAACAACAAACAGGTATTTTGCCTCATACTTTTTTGTTGTGGTCTCTTATAAGAGCGTGAGAACTACGTGGGTTAAAACAGTAATGAAACCAGAACAAAGAGCAACATTTTGTCACATCGCAGACTAAAAATTGAGTGTAGTTTAGTGATGTTTTATGTTCTTCTTATGACTGGTTTGATTCAACTCAAGTTCTTTAACCCCTCCAGCGTTACCTCAGATGTGCCCCAGGATTCTGTCCTCGGGCCCCTATTCATCATCAATATCACAACCGCTTTGCAGAATTTTCCACAAATTTGGAGTCGATTTTCACTGCGACGCTGATGACATCCAGCTCTACCTCAACGCAAAACCCTCGCCCACGCTTTCGCCCACCTTCCTCAATGATTCCATCTCTGAAATAAAAACTGTGTTCACGCTAAGCTTCATTAAACTAAACACCAAAATGAATTCATTAGTACTAAATCCACCTTATCCAACACAGTCAGTTTTTTTAGCCTACACCTGGTGGAGCTGCACATCTGTTGAGCTCTTTATGGGAGCGACTTTATTGCTGGTAAAATCTCTGTTGAAGGGTTAATAGAGGAGCCATGTTGTGATGGCTCCCTGAAGGTAGGGTTTCAGAAAGAGCAGGAGTTTTTAAAGAGACAGAGGGCCAATTTCAAGACATTAAATAAAGAAGTAAATTTGGAGTCATATTTCATGAAGAATTTTTATGACAACTGAAAGTAACAGAGTTACTGCACTTGATTATGTACAAAATGGCACTATGTACACGGAAAACACATGATGCTCACCCTTTAAATTGAATGTTTGTTGCGTCTTTCAAATTTCCACCTTGACATGTCACTGCAAGCAGATAAACTTAATAGCTGCACAGAGTTCAAGAGATGAGCAGCAGCCAGGAGAGTGTGAACTCACCTCACCGCTCAGACCTGGTCTGTTGGAGGACAGAGTTGGGTTAAGAGCCAAAACCGAACGCGACGCAGCTTAATGTAGGGCTTGTTTAGTGTGGCTGGATGGAGTCCAAGGGAGAATAATCAGCAGAGAACAGCCAGGCTGGTAATTAATCATGAGCGTATGTGTTTGAGTATTAGTAAGTAATAGTAAAATTGAACCACAATAATGAAGATTTATCTCTCTGGAGTAAATCCATAACATCCCAAAATGATTTCTGTCTGAGCAAAGTCTGAAATATGACTCGATTATTGGCAAGAGGTGCATTTACTTTGGTGGCAAGATTGATTTCGGAGAGCTGTGCAGGGAAAAACAAACTGAGACGAAGATTAATAGATCAAAATAGAAGCCGCACCAAAAGAATAGTAATAAAATTCAACAGAGAGCATGCAGACCCTAGGCTGGGATTCAAACCCACAAACTGTTGCATTTAAAACTTTCAGTTCCTTCACAAACAGGGAGCCAGGCCAATATCAAAAGACTGCTTCCACTTGATCTATTTTTGAGGTTTTCCTGTTTTTGCTGCGTAGTGTCCTGTGTTGACAGTGAATAGACATGATGAGGCGGGCAAAGGCGGCTGACAAAAACAAAGTTGACTTTTTTTTGGTTTTGTATACTTTGTGTGTGTTTTTTGTTGTTGTTTTTTTGTTTTTTTAGCATCAGTGAACCTAGTTGAGTCGTGAAAAACATAATTTATTTTTTATTTTTTTACATCGGCATTAAAATCTCAATATGCGGACTGGAATATTCTACATCGCTAGCAAAACTCTTTAAAGTGTAATTTCTGTTTCTTTTTTTTATACATAATTATCATTATTATTTGATCTACAAATTATTTTTTTTTTTTTGCAGCGTTTGCTTTCTGCAGATGGTCCCCTGAGGTCCAGCGATGTCATGTTTGTCATATTCGTCTAAAGGAAAATCGTTGCCCTCAAGAGACTAGAGAACCATGAACACAAGAAAGTCCACTGGTTCAGACGTTGTAGGAAAAAATCCTCAAACAACATTCAGCGGCGTTTCCATGAGCTTCTGTGTCATTAAAACCCGGCCGGAGTTCATCGGTATGAACGACGCGCCGTAAAACAAACGCCATTTATCTCACTCCTCGCTGAGGTGAAATAAATGAAAGAAACAGCCCTCCAGGAAACCTGCAGTTGTTTACCAGGCTTTCTATCTCCTGCTATACTGTTTATGCACAGCTAATGAGCTGTTGTTGCTGTGCTGAATTATGACGGTTATGCACGGCCGCTCCTGTACGGTCTGGGTTCTGTCGGACGGCGTCCGCCTGGAGTCTCACTCGTTAAATTCAGCAACAACGTGTCAGGTAAAAAAAATAAAATAAAATCACACGTCTACTCATCTCTAGGCAAGGCAGCGAGCAAATCAGACATGCCGGAGCACTGCAGGCCTCGTGCTCCAACACAGCCGCAGTTTCTTAGCAGCTCATTAGTTTTAAAATTCACCATCGCAACGTCGATAAAGGTTTTGATAAGATGATTTGGGCACAACTATAGACACAAAGTCAATTGAGCGACCGGCAACGGACAAAGCCGCGCAAAAGTAATTTCGCTCTGAAAAGAACCCCACAGCAGCCCATTCATCAATAATTCAGATCCATTTGTCAGTCAAGTCAGGATTTGACTGGTCCAGGTAAACAAGCGATGCTCTGGAGACACGACAGAAGCTGCATTTCCAATAGAGATCCTTTGTCTAAATCCTGCTGATGTACAAAACAACACAATTTTGCAAGTTTCCATGATATAATACATTAAATTAAAATCACACTTTAATAAGTTTTTTCCCGTGGCAAGTCATTAAAAAAATCAACTACGGATGTAGACACATGCATGGGATATATTCATAGTCAGCCGTCAGAGGAAGCGGCTACGTATGGGGAAAGTGTAGTCGACTATTTTACAGAGGAGTTATGGATTCAAAATGTTTGAACCCCTGCGGTGCCCTGAGAGCTCTGGAGCCGTTCATCTGGGAAGAAAACAAAAACGAACCATCATCATCCCACCACTTCCTGTCGCCGTCTTCGTCGTTTCCGCCAGGAGTAACATTTGGCTGTTGATCCTGTGACTCGAGTGATGCAAAAAACGCATATCCACTTCAGTTTTGTGAAATGCATCTATCTCGATACAGAAAAAAAAAACCTCACCTACTCCTAAAACATTCTGTTCAATGTTTTTTTTTTTTTTTTTTACAATTGCAATATTTCCATTACGCAAATTTATTTTTGTGATTTCCGTTTGCACAAGCCTATGGCTAATGGATACACAGCTAATCTTATCTTATTCACTTTAGGTTTAACTGTGTCTCTTTTGGGTTACATTACATGAAATAAAAAGCATTTATTTTCATAATGCTATCCATATGATCTATATTTCAATTCTACCAGCCAGGATAAAAACATAACTCAGACTTGAAGATTATTGCTGAACTTTCTTTCTGAAGTCATCCTAAAAAGGGCAACCTGGAAGGTTAAATTTAATAACGAAGAAAAATGTTGACAATAAAAAAAAGGCTTCCGTCTCTGGAGGAAGGATGCATACAATAAAGAATAAGAGTGAGAAAAAAAGAGTCTGGTGCTTCTCTGCTCGGCAAACAGAATGGATTCCCCATGGCTCCGCTGAACTGTGTTTGTCTTCGCTGGTTGAAAAACTATCACTTGCCGTCTGAAAGCGGCGGCATCTTCTTACTGATCGAATGAACTCTGACCAGTGATAATCCTGAACATGTATGGAAGTGAAAGAGCTTCAGCAGTTTTCTGATCGGACACGAATGGTTGTCAAAACCCGGCTTGTCGTCATTGGAGTCAATCTTAAGATCAATTTCTGTCACTCCGTATCTCATCTGTTAGAGTCTAGACTGTCTCAATTCAGGCTGAGATTTATCTGAGTCTGCCTGGAGAATTGAGGGAGAGAGGACGGTGGAGCGGTCTGCAGAAACAACCTCAATGCATTTGAACACCTTTTGGATCGGTTTGATTGTGTTGTTTGCGAGTTGTCAGCGTAACGCGGTGAATCTTAAATGTACGTGTCATATATAAATGAAAGGAAAAGGGACACAGTTTTGCTACTAATTGTCAACACTCTGACAATCAGCATAACAAGGTTAGAAAAAAAGCTTTAATAAGAATAAGTAGCGAGGTAGAGAGAGGTAGTCCGTTATGCTAGCTTGACTTTGACAACCTCGACATGCTGCAGAATCCAGCGTGTTACGGTTCAGTGAAAGATAAAAAGGCAACCTGCAAACCAACTGTCTGAGCTGAGATCTTCCACCGCCCTGTTCAGATAATCACTTATCAATAATTGCCAAATAAACCTCAAGCCTGGAAACTTAAAACCGTGAAGAACTGAGCGTCTGTTTTGTCTTTGTGTCGGAAATGTTTGGGTTTTTTTTTGGGGGGGGGGGCTAGAGGGTGTAATTAAGTTGTTGTCTGTTGTCTTTGTGCAGCATACAGAGAGCGAGAAAAACGACGAATGCGAGTGGTTCTGAGTTATTCCACAATGCTGCATAATTTCCCTCTTTGCCGTGGCGATGGGCACTCATTTAATAACACTTCTCC